CTGCGAAGACCTGTGTGGAATCGCTCTTGAGATTGTGCAGCCTAGGATCGCTCTCAGCCTCGAGACTTGAGCCCTTGCTTTCAAACCTTGGACCTTGGGTTTAGACTGTTCAACGATCAACCGTAATGCAAGGCCTGTCTGGCCGGATTTGAAGCAGCCCTCGAACAAGAGGCACCAAAGTCAGATCAAGAAGATCAGACCTCATCAGAAGAAGCTTGCGAAGCTAGAACAGAAGCACCCCCCGAACTAGGGGTTAAAATGTCCAATGTGCTCAAAGAGTCGAAGATGGATCTTTCTGTAAATCAATACGACAACCACTCTCCTGAATACGGATGGCTTCAAAACCTTAAAACCATTTGGCATGAACTTGTTACACTTTTATCCTTTGAGAGGCTCGCTGGGCCGAAAACCTGGAAGGGCAACCCAGGCAAAAGTTAGAGCAAGAGAAAAATACAAAAAAGAAGGAAAAGAAGAAAAGAAAAAAATGCAAAAGAAAAGAGAAGAGAAAAGAAAAAAAAGAAGAAAAAGGAATGAAAAGATACAAAAAAAGAGAAGAATTGAAAAGAAAAAGAAAAAGAAAGCTCGCAAGGTTGAAAACCCAAAAGGGCGGCCTTGGCAAAAGTTAGAGCGTAGAAGGTGAGGGTCAATACACGAGTGAACCCAAACCGGAACTACGTAAGGCTTGATTCCCATGTTTGGGATACATAGGCAACTTCATCCTGAAGTCCAGCTCCACGCACTTTCAAAGTGACTGTGTCCTTATATTGGTTTTGACCATCTTCGTCTTCCCTGTATCCGAGAGTTCGGTTGCGATCATCACTAATGACGACTGACTACAGTATGCTGCGGCGTTATCCAGACAAGGGGCAACTTTCCATTGCCATGAGTCGCCGTCCAAACCAGGGGCAACTTCCCGTTGCCGTGCTGATATTTTAAATATAGAATTATTGATTTGTTTTTGCCAATCTTAGTGACTAAATTTTGGGTTTCCCATGTATTCATTTGTTCTCTTGTTAATTACATTCTTACACAAAAATAATTAAACTAACAAAATAAGTGAACATCAAAAATCTTTTATGTAATTAGAAAACTAGTACGAAAAGGAAATTTGGAAACAAGAAAATAATTAATAATTAACATGTATTTCGACGAGCATTGGAGTTGGAGCTAGAACTAGTGGTAATGGGTTGATTTGTGGTGTTGCATATGTCTGAATGTCATAACTGCTTAATACAGTTACCATGATGAAGTTATGGAGAGAGTTGGAATCTTGACTATGAAGTATGGGTGAGTGACCGTATTTTATAGTAGTAGTCAAAGAGTTCTAATTTTTTATTGAGTTCTCATATGTAGAAACCTTAGTTCTATTGGATTTGGGATCCCAGATAGTCACCTTAGCACATTATGAAAACTTACGCTAATGGAAACATGTTAGGAAACATTCCAGGGATAGCTGGGTGGTCGAAGGGATCTGACCTGCAAAGGCTACAGGAATTACATAGCAGAACTAAAGCTGAATTATCCTCTTACTCTAGTAATATACAATGAGTAATACTAGTCAACACATTTCCCCTCATAGTTGTAAAGAAGTCGATTATTTAATAAATCCAAGGACCTATAGTAAAATTTGTCAAAAGAGATGGAAGGAAAAATACAACTTATTCAAAACTGGAGGAAATATTTGTAAAACTACCAAAACAAACAATACTTGCTGGACGAAGACGGACAACACCCATCAAACTGGTGCATTAGTTCCTCCTTGTATGCTAAAGCTACAGAAGTCGGCTCATGCCCATTGTCAGAATAGTGGGGCTAGTAGCTCAACATTGCCTTCTTACAACAAAAGATAAGACAGTTTTAAGCACTTATCCTACCCTTAGACAAACCAAATATCTGAAAGAGAAACAGATATCCTATTAACAATGCTCATAATCCACATTGTACTAATGTATAAAGAACAAAATATTTTACCTGCCCTTATGCAACCAATCTGAAGAAGCTCCACTTGGCACAGGGACTCCATAACAGAACTATTGACCTTTGGCAGCCACAGCACACTTGTGTTAATACACATCCTTATCATAGTCCTACTTTGTACAATTGGAAGTAACCTTGGAAAGAAAATGTTGTGATGAAAACAGAAATGTGTTTATCTAATCTAACCATCTAATAATTAAGCCTACATGTCATAATTGAGCAAACGTACTGAATACATGGCAAAGCACCATGGCCTCAAATGCTTTAGTGAATAGCATGACTTAGAAAGATGCAACATTAGTGGGGTCGTTGAACGACTCAAATTTTTTGGTTTAGACCATTCAATCGAGGTTCATTATGGTGGTTATGTGCCTTAAAGGCACCTAACCAAGCATAAACTAGCCATTTTAGACTATCTAAGATGAAGTGTAATGTATTACTAATGGGGTAGTGTTCACTTGTTGCTGGATGAGGGTGGTTCTCCCTGCCAAGGAGAGCACACTGGTTTTCCAACCAGTTAGCTATTTTTGCATCCTCTCCAGGATTCTTCTGAAGTACCCTCTATTCACTCTTCCATGAATGAGAGGCACTCCTAGGTATTTCCCTAACTCAACAGTCAGGAGCATACCACACTTGGAGCTCACATGATTAAACAATTGTGTTATATTAATGAAAAACACTAAACTGATGTCCGGGGCATTTTTATGATTTCATAAACTGTTAACTGAAAACTTGTTTGGGACTCAATTTCAGTTGATAAGGATACTGATATGTATGTAACATAAATACATGTATCTATACACAGATTAATGCAGTTAATTATATTTAGAACATGGTGTGATCATGAAAGTGTTGGATTTTCAAGTTTTGCCTTTATAGTAAAACTAAAGGTTACTAGTATTTTGAATGTGACACAGCATTACGTAGTTTTACTTTGTGTTCACAACAATTGGGTGTTCCCTTAATAATATGATATAGATAGTATAGATATAATTCAAGTCTGAGGTAGTACTTTTACAATTAGGTACTGGCATGTTCATAATTAAATTGAAAGATCTATCAGGAAGTATAGAAATAATTGTCTTGATAAATCATCATTACCAGTTGAACTTTTGAAGAAATGAATGAGTAAACCTTGACTTTGATTTTTAGCAATAATGTTCATTCTAAGTAGTCCACAAACAGACGAACAAAGCTAAATGATACCTACTCAAAACAGGAAGGGCAGAAAAAAGATTAATAGTATTGTAGCATTTCATATATTTTTAGATGATGCATATATGTTTTAACATGATAATTAGACTGAGTTATGGATTTTATTTTGTAACCCAAGATTTATATCAACACTTCATAGTTTCTCCAATTGAATGGCAATCCCAGACAATGAGTGTTTCACATGTATGGTCCATCACTGCTTGAAGGGTCATTGCATTTGCACCCATACTTCCAACACTATTCTGCGTAGTGGAAACAGACTTCGTTGGAACCTGAGTTTTTTGTGTAGGAGGGGCTAACCTGAAAAGAGCAATGTAGAACCATCGCATGCAAAACAACTTTAAAGTGGCTGATCCACATCTACATTAGGAACAAAATCTGAACATATTTCAACAGTAGCAGGAAGTAGAGGTACAAGCAAATCTGCTCCACTCATGTGGATGTTAAGGCCTAAATCAATAAATATCTAGACACATGCACTGAATTGGTGGTGGGTTCATAGCTGGTACTAGTAGTGCGGTGTGGGTGTGGGTGGGTTAATAAACTGTTTGTGCTTTAGTTTGTAAGGGTAATATGCTAATTTTATTTTTTCTATTAACCCATTAGAAGTCAAAACTCTGACAGAGGGGAATTGCAATTTTCATAAACACAAGGGGAATTTGTAGATAACTGTAATTTATCATAAAAACATTATAATTCTCATTTATTTAAGCTATTACTCTATAAGTCTGAGCATATCTTTGTCTCCTTTGTTCAATCTGATGTTCAAGCTTTAATTGGTGCATTCTATTATTACTACCTACTTTGGGTTGGTCTTTTTCAGTTATTCTAGCCCCGTTTTAGGTTTGTCAACTGAATAATATCCAAAGAGCATGGGCATGAACATGCCACATGATATGATACAGATACGTTGACATGATAAATTTTCACAATGCAGAACACAACATGTGGAGGACTTGAGCATAAATATAGTTTTATATATTTATCTTGTCATATATATGAGCATTCCTTTCAAAGATAATAAAGATTACAACATAAATCTAATTTCCAAACTTTGAAGTAGGTAAGAATAATAGTTATAAATATATTAATATACATAGGTTTTCTTTTTATCATTGAATCCCAAGTTATTTTGTCCAAACTTAATATGTGTTTCTTATGTTTTTAAGTGATCGACATGTGTGTCTCCCAAAAAAAAAAATTCAAATAGAATTTTTTAATATTTGTACAATAGTAACCTAATCACCTTGAGATAAGGAATGTTGTTAATGTGAATCACCTTCTTCCATATAGGTTTGTGACTTTTAAGATTATTTTTTGGTCATTGATGCATTGAATTGTTACGTGGTTTGGTTTTTATTGGTAATGATACAATCTAATCATAATGAAAATTTCCATCTTTAACTTCCATTTCTGTCCATGATATATTTGCTCACCTATTGGAATGTTTGTATTTTTATCCATGATATATTTGCTCACCTATTAGAATGTGTGCATTTATGATGTATAAAATATTAGAATTGTTGTTATGGTTAATTAATATGCATGTTGATGTATACAGAATATATATTTAGGAGAAGTAAACAAAATGGACAAGAGTTGGATTGATTTACCAAATAGGATGTCCAGAGAATACAAGAATGGGATCGATCGATTTCTAGTGTTTGCATACACCAATAGGGCTACAAGTTCGATGATTTGTTGTCCATGTAGGAAATGCAAGAATCACTATCATCTTATCCGAGATAGTGTCCGAGAGCACTTGATTTCAAATGGCTTTCTAAACAAATACAAACATTGGATTAATCATGGAGAGTCGTATACTTCTGTGCATGGTAACTGAGATAATGAAGCCTTAGTGAATGAAAACATTAGGGATGATATGGCGGGAATGATACACGATGTTACTGGTATTTCAGTTCCTAGTACAAGTGTTGTAGGTGATGAACCATAGGCACCAACTAATCCCAATGTAGCAGAACCACTTGCAACTGATCCGCAGTTAGGTCCAAATGTGGAGACTGAAAATTATTTCAAACTTTTAGAGAATGCTCAGAGTGAATTGTATCCGGGTTGTCAGAAGTTCACATCTTTGACGTTCATTGTTCGACTTTTACATATGAAGGTGCTAAATCAGTGGAGTGACACTTCTGTTACCATGTTACTTGAGTTGTTGAATGAAGCTTTCCCTGAGGGTGCGAAACTTCCTGATTCTTACTATCAAGCTCAAAAGATCACTACAGATTTGGGCTTCACATATGAAACATGGGATGTATGCCCCAATAGTTGTATGTTGTTCCGAAATGAATACATGAATCTTGATGAATGTGTCATATGCAAAAGTTCTAGGTGGAAACAAAATGGTGCTGATAGTTCAAATGTTCCTCGTGGAGGCGGTAAACAAATATCCTCTAAACAGATGAGGTATTTCCCTCTGAAGCAAAGATTGCAGAGGTTGTATATGTCATCGAAAACGGCCAAGCTCATGAAATGGCATGCAGAGGAATGGCAAGATGATGGTGTCTTAAGACATCCTGCTGACTCCCTTGCATGGAAAGATTTTGACCGTCAAAATACTGACTTTGCTGATGATTGTCGGAGTGTAAGGCTTGGGTTAGCATCTGATGATTTTAATCCATTCAGATCGATGAATATAGTTCATAGCACCTGGCCTGTTGTTCTCATTCCATACAACTTACCGCCATGGATGTGCATGAAACAACCATTTTTTATTTTGTCTACACTTATCGATGGCCCAAAAGGACCTGGTGACAAAATTGACGTGTATATGCAACCGTTGATTGAGGAGTTGAAGGAACTATGGACTGACAGTGTCTCTACATTTGATGCATCAACAAATCAAATGTTTCAAATGCATGCAGCTTTGCTATGGACAAGTGATTTTCCAGCATATGCGAACTTGTCAGGATGGAGCACGAAAGGAGAATATGCATGTCCATGTTGCAATAAGGAAACTAGATCGTGTTGGTTGAAACATGGTAAGAAACATTCATATTTAGGTCATCACAGATTCCTATCTAGTGGTCATAAATTTCGAAAGGATAAAGTATCATTTGATGGTACTCAGGAATTGAGTCTCAAACCGAGATTGTTATCTGGATCAGAGATTTTGCTACAAGTAGAATCTAAGGGTATCTTAACCCAATACAGGCTGGATGACCTTAAAGAGAGGCATAGGAGACAAGTGGAAAGGCAGAAAGCTGGACCTCGCACTCATAGTTGGAAAAAAAAGAGTATATTTTTTGAATTGCCATATTGGGAGCACAATCTAATAAGACATAACCTTGATGTGATGCATATAGAGAAGAATGTGTGTGACAATGTATTGTGGACAATACTGGGGGTTGCAGGAAAATCTAAGGATAATGTCAATGCTCGGCACGATTTGCAAGAAATGAATATTAGAAAACCCCTACACTTGTGGTCAAGAGGGTCGAACAAAGCTTGTTTGCCACCAGCACAATTCACAATGACCAAGGATGAGAAATATTTGTTCTTGAAAATGCTTAAGGACGTTAGAGTTCCTGACGGGTATTCATCAAATATCTCTCGTCGTGTACGATTACAGGATAGAAGCATTTCGGGTCTAAAAAGCCACGATAGTCATATTCTGATGCAATAATTTATTCCTTTGGGTGTACGAGGATTCTTGCCTAAGAATGTTGTTCAAGCCTTGATTGAATTAAGTAATTTCTTCAGACAATTGTGTTCCAAAGTAAATCGTCAAACAAATGTAGCAAATATCCAAGGTCGTATAGCACTAACACTTTGTCATTTGGAAAAAATATTTCCACCAGCTTTTTTTGATATAATGGAGCATCTACCTATACACCTAGGTGATGAAGCATTGGTAGCTGGAGCGATTCAATTTTGATGGATGTATCCAATTGAGAGATATCTTCTTACTTTAAAGCAATATGTACGTAATCGGGCTCATCCAGAAGGTTCAATGGCTAAAGGTTATCTCATGGAAGAATGCATGAATTTTTGCTCTCAATATCTGAATGATGTGGAAACTAAATTGAATCGGCCTGTAAGGAACTACAATGGTGCAGCTAATATGGGTCGTGCTGTTGGTGAAACCACAACTTTCAACCTTGGTCATACTTCTTATGTACAGTGTCATCGATATATCTTGTTCAATACGAAAGCAGTTGAACCATTCCTAAAGTAGGTACCCCGCTTATTCAATATTTGACAAGTTTTTTTTTGTTTTTTATTACATTTCAAATATTAATTTGTAATTGATAATTTTTCAACGTATATAGGAAACACCTTGAAGAACTTAAGATGAAAATGCCTCGCGCTGATGATCATCAACTCCGAAATGAACATTTCAAAACTTTTCACACTTGGTTTAAAGAACATGTATGTATGGACAAATCTAGCAACAGATTACAACTTAGGTCGATTTGCGTTTCGAATTTGCTTTCATGTTTTAAATAGGTTCACACTTTGCGAAGGACTGATAATGCCACATTTTCTGAAGAGATTCATACATTGGAAAATGGTCCTCATACCGGAGCAAGAAGGTTCACCGGTTACATAACTAATGGGTTCCGTTTTCGGGTCAAGTCTATAGATGACCGTCTAGCCAGTCAAAATTTTGGTGTAGCTTTGAAAGCAGATACTATTAGTTATGCAAGCTGGAAGGACAAAAATCCTCGTGTGGGGGCTGTGTACTATTATGGACAAGTGACAGATATCATTGAAATCCGGTACACCAATGCAATGAAGTATGTATTGTTCAAGTGTGACTGGATAGACAGTGTTCGGGGTAAGAAAGAAGTTAATTTCAAGTTCACGTTGATTAACTTCAACCATTTGTTGTATCGAGATGATCAAATCACCAATGAACCTTTCATCTTGGTATCCCAAGCTGAACAAGTTTGGTATGTTGCAGACCCTATAGAATCAAATTGGCAAGTGGTTGTGAAGATGTCTCAAATGGGTTTATTTGATATGTATTCTACTGATCCAGAAACTGAGCCATATATGAGTCAACAATTAGAAGAAAATATAATGGTCCGTGATGAAGAAGTTGGCTGGGTGAGGGAAGTCGTAGAAGGAGAAACTGTTGATGTTGAAATGAGAGAGAATTAAGATATTTTGTAATAATTTTTGGATTCTGTAATGACACAGTAAATTTTCATGCTTTAATGACTTGCATATTTGGGCATGTTACTATATTTAACAATTTTATGTGCTCCCAATTTATTTATTATATTTGTTTTGTAATTACATTATTAACTCCAAACTATTCTTTATATTTTCAATTGTATTTGTTACAGCTTGTTATGGCACGGAAGAGGAATCTTAATAGTCCCTCTCGCACTATGGCTGATGTTTTACGTATGCTGACACAATCACCACCACCATCACAGCCATCGATACAGCCACCACCACCATCACAGCCACCGATACAGCCACTACTACCATTAGAGCCACCGATACAACCACCACCACCATCACAGCCACCGATACAACCACCACCATCATCACAATTGTCTCGACCAACGTTGTCTTCACAGGCCACCACAGGTATACAAATTTCTTATGTACTTAAATTATATTAATTAAATTATTTCATTTTCACTATACATAAACTTTCTAATTTCATATGCTAGGACCAACGACTTCTTCAAGTACACGGAAGAGTAAACTTAATAATCCCTCTCGCACTATGGCTGATGTTTTGCGTATGCAGACACAATCACCACCACCATCACAGCCATCGATACAGCCACCACCACCATCACAACCACCGATACAGTCACCACCACCATTACAACCACCGATACAGCCACCACCACCATCACAGCCACCGATACAGCCACCACCATCATCACAATTGTCTCAACCAACGTTGTCTTCACAGGCCACCACAGGTATACAAATTTGTTATGTACTTAAATTATATTAATTAAATTATTTCGTTTTCACTATACATAAACTTTCTAATTTCATATGCTAGGACCGACGACTTCTTCATATCCCACCTCAGGTACAGGTTTGTTTTCATGTATTTAATTTATGCTTTAATTTATATGTTGTTTATTATATTCTGATATAATTTGTTTATTCTTATAATGTGTTCCAAATCCAGCGACTGATTCACAAGCCAACTCAGGTATAACAAATGGCTATGTATCTAATTACATTAATTTAACTACAAGTTATTTATTATCAATTTTTGTAATATGTGTTTTTTTTTCCATTACTCCTCACATGCCCTACAGGTTCTTTATCTTCCCCCCGAGGTCGAGGATTTGCGAAAGGCATTAAAGATTGGGGTACGGGCAAGAAGTTGCCTATTGATTTTGATGCCGACTTCAATCCTATGGGAGATAATTTGTCTAAGTTAACTATCCAACTTGGATTCATGGTACGTAATGGTTGACTGGACCCAAGTGCCTATTGATGTTCTAGAGTCAATATGGGCGGACGTTAAGGTAAAACCAAATTTAGTAAATTGTTTAATTATATTATTAATCGAACTAATGATTTAAATTGTACTGTAGGATCATTTACAAATTTGTCCGGAGGGGTACAAACCACGTTGCTTGAAAAAGTGCAATGAGTTGTGGAAGGATCACAAAAGCAAGATCAAGAATAAGTATTTTAAGCCTAACAAGGATCATACTAATATCAAAGACATGGTGCCTCCACAAATTGTTCCAGAACAGTGGTATGATCTTGTTGATTATTGGAAGACTAAGAAAGTAGAGGTATATAAAATAAGTTAATTATAAAGCACGTATCTACAGAAAAATGATTAACTTTGTATACTTACGACTTACATTTATGCAAACTTTATAGGACATTGCAATCCACAATGCTAGAAGTCGTTCCTTTCATTATATTAATCATACGACAGGACGTACTGTAGCTTTGAAAGCAGATACTATTAGTTATGCAAGCCAGAAGGACAAAAATCCTCGTGTGGGGGCTGTGTACTATTATGGACAAGTGACAGATATCATTGAAATCCGGTATACCAATGCAATGAAGTATGTATTGTTCAAGTGTGACTGGATAGACAATGTTCGGGGTAAGAAAGAAGTTAATTTCAAGTTCACGTTGATTAACTTCAGCCATTTGTTGTATCAAGATGATCAAATCACCAATGAACCTTTCATCTTGGTATCCCAAGCTGAGCAAGTTTGGTATGTTGCAGACCCTATAGAATCAGATTGGCAAGTGGTTGTGAAGATATCTCAAAGGGGTTTATTTGATATGTATTCTACTGATCCAGAAACTGAGCCATATATGAGTCAACAATTAGAAGAAAATATAATGGTCCGTGATGAAGAAGTTGGCTGGGTGAGGGAAGTCGTAGAAGGAGAAACTGTTGATGTTGAAATGAGAGAGAATTAAGATATTTTGTAATAATTTTTGGATTCTGTAATGACACAGTAAATTTTCATGCTTTAATGACTTGCATATTTGGGCATGTTACTATATTTAACAATTTTATGTGCTCCCAATTTATTTATTATGTTTGTTTTGTAATTACATTATTAACTCCAAACTATTCTTTATATTTTCAATTGTATTTGTTACAGCTTGTTATGGCATGGAAGAGGAATCTTAATAGTCCCTGTCGCACTATGGCTGATGCTTTACGTATGCTGACACAATCACCACCACCATCACAGCCATCGATACAGCCACCACCACCATCACAGCCACCGATACAGCCACTACTACCATTAGAGCCACCGATACAACCACCACCACCATCACAGCCACCGATACAACCACCACCATCATCACAATTGTCTCGACCAACGTTGTCTTCACAGGCCACCACAGGTATACAAATTTCTTATGTACTTAAATTATATTAATTAAATTATTTCATTTTCACTATACATAAACTTTCTAATTTCATATGCTAGGACCGACGACTTCTTCAAGTACACGGAAGAGTAAACTTAATAATCCCTCTCGCACTATGGTTGATGTTTTGCGTATGCAGACACAATCACCACCACCATCACAGCCATCGATACAGCCACCACCACCATCACAGCCACCGATACAGTCACCACCACCATTACAACCACCGATACAGCCACCACCACCATCACAGCCACCGATACAGCCACCACCATCATCACAATTGTCTCAACCAACGTTGTCTTCACAGGCCACCACAGGTATACAAATTTGTTATGTACTTAAATTATATTAATTAAATTATTTCGTTTTCACTATACATAAACTTTCTAATTTCATATGCTAGGACCGACGACTTCTTCATATCCCACCTCAGGTACAGGTTTGTTTTCATGTATTTAATTTGTGCTTTAATTTATATGTTGTTTATTATATTCTGATATAATTTGTTTATTCTTATAATGTGTTCCAAATCCAGCGACTGATTCACAAGCCAACTCAGGTGTAACAAATGGCTATGTATCTAATTACACTAATTTAACTACAAGTTATTTATTATCAATTTTTGTAATGTGTTTTTTTTTTCATTACTCCTCACATGCCCTACAGGTTCTTTATCTTCCCCCCGAGGTCGAGGATTTGCGAAAGGCATTAAAGATTGGGGTACGGGCAAGAAGTTGGCCATTGATTTCCATGCCGACTTCAATCCTACGGGAGATA